TCATCTTTAAGTAAACGATGACTAGTTCTCTTTTTTCCTGTAACAAGTTGTTTTAATCCAATACCTATCTTACGATCGCTCCAATTTAATTACTCCCGCCGCATTATTTGGACTAAAACGTGGCCTTAGCGACAACTGGACCAAGGATAGAGACGAAATAGCGCCGAGGGCAGGCGAAGGACGCGTACAAGCTCGAAATCTTTAGGCCGCCTTTACACTATGAAATATGATATATTACATCTGAAGACCCGGCGTCCACACACTTATGACTTTTCAATCGGATCGGCAAAGTTATGAATAATAGCTATGACCGAAAAAACCGGCCAAGTGCGAGTAGGACTCGCGCACGAAGGGTTCCGTACCATTTTCTATAAAAACAGCAAAAAAAAAAAAAAAATATGGCTGTTGTAATTGTGTGTTGGAACCGCACTTAGTACTTTTTATTCTGTTTTTTAATATTTGTTGTTATAGCGTCAACAGAAATACATCATCTGTGACAAATTATAACTTTTTAACATGTTCATGAGATACAGCCTGAAGACAGACGGACAGACTGACAGACAGACAGACAGCAGAGTCTTAGTAATAGGGTCCCGTTTTAACCTTTGGGTACGGAAACCTAAAAAGGACACGAAAAAAAGGCTGGGAAAACATTTCTAGTATGAAACATACATATTACATGTAAATGGAAATGATGTCTTGTTGTAAATTGTGTTTACCGATACCGATTTGTGTTTGGGGCTATAAAATAATATATTTTAATCGCACAGTGTAAAGTCGGCTTTATTACAGCGAATTCGGAAACGCGTCATAGGGCGTCGTGCGTCCGTCGGGTCGTCGAACGTAATCGTAGACTTCCTGCGCCGATGCTAATGAGTGAGGCGCGCACGCTATTCGGGCAACCCTCAGCCTTTTCACCCTAAGGCCTAGGGTGGTGAGTTACGGCCGGTTTCTACATTCTATCTGCAGATAGATTTGGTTACTGGCGATAGGTATTTGACATTAGCTCCATAATAATTAAGTTAAAATTTGATCTCTGGTAGCCAAATCGATCTACAGATAGAATATAGAAATCGACCGTTACTGACTAAACGCTAAGTAACGAACCAACATTATTACACAATTGGATAAAGAGGACTACTCTGTAAAGAGTTTATCACAACCTGACCCTAGCGCGCAAACTCTGCCAAAGGTCAATCAATTTCTTGCATAAATCTAAAGTTTATATCTTTATCGAAAACTTGGTCAATGAACACTTATGTACAATTAACAATTTATTTTATTGGTGCCTGGATTTGAAGTTGGCATGTTGAAGTATAATTTATTAAAATTAGACCGCATGGGCACCGAATTATAAGTCATAATTAGACCCAATACTATAGGGACTGTTCGAGTTGAAAGAGTCTGTAGATATCATTATAAATACTAAAAGAAAGAAACTGATATATATAACCGAAAAAAGGTCTAGACTTTAGTAAATCTAAAATGCTTGTTATCATTTTTATTTTGTTTAAAATATCTTAAGGAACATCTCTAAATAGCAATCAAACAATTACGTTAAAAATTTACGTGGGTTATCTACCACACATCGCCTATCCCCGCAAGGATTATTCAACGATCACGTTAAGAGCTTTCGAAGTATATAAAAAACAACACAATTTTCGAGCTAATTAGACGGATACCTAAGACTCGAACCAGGGGGGCTCTAAACAGAGTCCAAAGTAATCGTGAGCTGGAGAAAATAGGCAACAATCTAGGCTCATTCATATTGATTAGCCGTGCCGTTGTTTGGGCACCGTACCATTATGCATGCACATAATTTAATTTTAATATCGCCGAGATGTGCCAGATACGCTCGCCGCGGTATAATTACTCCGCTCCTAGTCACAATCGTCGTCCGTTAACAGTAAATTACCCCGGTGCGAGTATTAATCGCTGTTCGCAAAATCACATGTACTCATTAACGCCGGCAAGTGTAACGCTTCGCCCGTCTCAATGAACTCCATTGGAGGTTTGAAAGACGCGCGAGCTTGCACATAGCTTATATGAACTTTCCAGAAAGCAATAGCAGCTAAGACAATAATCTTTTTATGTGAGAAAGTGGCAAACGAGCTGGCAGTTCACCTGATGTAAAGTGATAACCAACGCCCATTGACATTTGCAACACTCATAGGGTTGCAGATGCGTTTCCACCTTTCAATAAAGTGTGCCCCGGCTACCTCACCCACGACACGTAACTCGAAAGTATAACACTTCCACTTCACGCCAGTCTTCTGTGAGGTCGTGGTACTTGCATAATTATTAATTACCCCCTTACCAGTTGATTTGAGCACACTATGCACCCTGATATAGCCTGCGTTTATTTTGTGTCAGTGAATTCATATTTGTGAACCCCGCGACCCTAACATCAGCTCCTATTTGATTCGTCGTTTTTTAATTAATGTTTTAAATCATTTTAGCTACTTCTCATTTGGATGAGTGGTGACCCATCTGTTCCTATAATTTTCCGAACGCTCAACGATGACCGTTACTCACTATTTATGGGATAAAGTCCGCCAATTCGCCTTTGACAGACGGACATACGGACAAAGGAGTCTAAGTAATAGGGTCCCGTTTTACCATTTCCTAATCTCGAATCCTAAAAAGTAAGGCTTAAAAATCGTTTTGAGTCGTACGTCGCGACATTCGATTTATAAAATTAGCATTCGACGTGCCCTCCCGCTGTCGAAATGCAGCGATTTCAGCCATGCCTCGTATTCGGGTAAAAATTATATAACACATGTAAAAAAGGCGGTTACAATCGCGTGACGCGCGTTTCTCGAATTTAACACGTTTCTAACGTTTTCAGGCAAATGTACTAAATATATTTCTGTCGGCTTTTCCTTATCGTTATTATATATAATTGATTACATTCTCGCGAATATCGCTGTATTGGGTAATAACGTATAGACTGATATTTAGAACTGAATTTATAAATTTTATTGTAACTTTTTGTTAAAAATTAGTCAAGTCCCATCTTGTACTATTTACAAGACTAGGGGACTAGGGGGTTGCGGATTCGAATACGAGAACCGTCCACTGTTAGCTTTTCGGATTTTCACATGCAAAATAAAAACAGTCAAATTATTTTTCTCTTAAATAATATACTCTTAGTGTAGGATTACATTTTAAGGACGTTTTACGTATACAAACTTCACGTAAACAAACAACCAGATTTAAAACAAATATCTGTAGGTCACAAAAATAGTTGTCCCTAGCGGGAATCGAACCCATGGCGCCTTAACCGATTTTGGCAACTGCGCCACAGAGTTTTTACGATTTACGAGGATGAGGTAGAATCTTGTCAAGTGTTTGTGCCTCATAAGTACAATAAATCATTTTCTACAATATGGTATTTCAACACTGTTAAGGCAAGATGGTACTGAGATGCAATGTAAGCACCTGACACAAACTTATTACATTTTACTAACACTATATACTATATCTATATATTATAATATCAAAACGAAATAAGTCTTTAGTTACGTATTTTAATTAAAAATAGAGTTGATAACCATGTAAAACACAAATAATTGTAACATGTACAAATCTAGACAAACACAGCATTTCTGCATTCCTAGGTTGAGTCGTTTTGCAGCTAAATATATTTGCAGACGGTCATAGACCGCATTTCCGTAACCCGATAAACTACGATACGCCGCGTTTGGTTCTGAAGTATGCGTTTTGAAAGACAAAAATTGTCTTTTTTTTAAGATTTTTCTTAGATCCTGGCGCCAATTTAGTTTTCTTTTAATATTCACCTTTCGTCATGATCGGTAATATTAATTAATGTTTTACAACATAGAAATATTTACGTATTTTAGTTCAGCAAATTCAAAAAAAAATTAATTCAGGTAATATCAGGAGATCCTAAAATTATAGTCTCGTGTATATCCACATAGCGCCAAAATTTACCGCACTTAGATTACAAGCTAATAATGAATACTAATTGCTTTTTGAACTGCAAAAAATCATTATTAAATAAAACTTTTATTACAAAAAAATAGTTTCATTTAGTAATGTGTAATATTTGCATAAATATAAGAACGTGTTGTGGGCAAAACAGCTAATTTCAATCTCATTTCACCACGCCATTTTGGATACATCGATTTAGTAACTAGGAAAACATGATTTTAAAATCCTTAGTGCGCTAATGATCAACTTTATTTTTTGTTTTCGTCTTCGTGTCCATTATTTTTGTTTTTAATATAAGCGTGTTACAAAGATAGAAGAAAAACTTGTCAATAATTTACACATAGACCTCGTATTCATTCGGTCGCCATAATTTGTAAACCTAACCAAATGTCGTAATTTATACCAACGTAAACTTATAACATAGACTATCTTTTTAATTCTGCTTAACATTTCTTAGTAGACAACTGTAAGCTTAGCCGTAGCAGAAACACATGATTGACAACCGTAAAAATTCAAACTAGCTTTTGCCGTACACAGAACAGCTTCCCCGGTCATAAATCAATAATAACTTATGTTCGAGAAAATGATTCGGGCGACTAGAAAGCTCGCGCTGAAACCGCTGAAATCACGAAAGTCCGAATGTGCCGCTCGAACTCCACTCCGCGACGTAACTACGCTAGAGTTCAATACACCCTGTCTACCGACGTTTTTCGACACAATTCGATAACGAGAAAATGTAAGCACACACCCGAAAATATTTGGGGTTCACAATGCAAGAGCGTTTCCAGCGCTAATTATAAGCTATTAACGAGGGTCTAACGATTTGTTTACATTCCAACTGGGACTAATCAAATTACTGGCTACAAGAAAAAGCCCACCTAAATAGAAATGAAGGAAACGCTAGAAAAAGTAGCGCAACCCTTGACCTTTTGTGAAAAGAAAGCTCCGTAAGATATATCTTCGTTCCAGCATCATCCCTCGGATTTTAGAATTGGAAAAGAAAAATCTCACCTGTTCTTCCCGTGACCGATCTTGTAGAGCTCGACATGCTTGAACTGGGCGTAGGTGGCCATGGTGTCTTCTCGGGAATTGAAGGGGTTGGACTTTCGAACACAGAGGCGAGCACTGCGCGTAAACGAGCTCTGAGCTTGCTCAACCACAAGACGTGCGTTCACAGCGGCGGCCGTCAGCTGACTGGGCGCGCGCGGCCCGTACCCTCGCTTAAGTCGATGCAGCTACCCTCCGCCCGCGCGTGAAAAGTTAACAGCGCATGCCCGCCGCTTCCGCGCCCGTGGCCATCGCTTTTTTTTTCTATTCAGCTCGTTTCTCTCTCTCTCACTCTCTCTCTCTCCATTGCTCTGTCTACGCTCAAAGCACCTGGTGGCCAGTGAAATATGATCGCCAGAGGCCAGATGACTCGTGACGACGGACGGGAACAGGTTCCCGATGAAAAAAACGATGTTCGGGGATGTTGAGTGACGCTGAACCGATCGCTTCCGTGTAAACTATCTGGGTTTGCGTCCGTGTATACCTTTGTATCTGTTTAAAGGGCCACACTTTGCAGGTTTCTGTTACCTTATATAGTGTGGATATTTAACTTTAATGGACCGAATAAGTTTTGGATTATGGTACACAACAAATTATCAAGTCATTAAATTATTTTATCTCTTTTTAGTAATTTTAATTATAATTTAATGGAAAAATTTATGTAACAAAAAGACCTATAAATTGAAGATTATTATTACTTTACCATTGCTTTTAATACAAAAGAAAGTTGTATATTTCAAATCAAAGCATTAAGTTTCATTAAACAGAAATGTTGCAATTGAAACAGCAGTAAAACTTCTTTAATTAATCTTCGTCTCAGGGCAACCGCTTTTCCCGCACATGAAATCGATGCAGTACCTCAGCTGTTAATCTTGAAATAACTTAATAAATAAGCCATCAATATACTCCATAAGTGTTAATCGCGTGATATCATAACACAATTGCAATTTATAGTGGTATACGATAGGGATATTGTTATAAACCGTTTTAGTATAACAAATGAAACTATTAATATCAACTAAAATAGGCGTATGTAGACTTGATAATTAGGATAAAATAATTTAACATTAGATAAAATAACCTTTTAGGGTTAGAAATAATAAGTTAGAAGAGCGATCATAGATCTTTTTATTTACTGAGCCTTTAGGACAATTATTTATACTACTGTATCAACAAAAGTGCGACTGAATATTCACGAGCTTTCGGTATATCTTGATGTATCCAAGATCTTGCAACTTTTTTTCTACAAACATTTATGTATTCAAACTAATTGACTCGTCATAAGGGGAAATAGAGCAAGTTATAAACAAATAACTTACAGCCTATATCTTTCGCAGTAGTATTATGAAAATTAATAAGTAAGTGTAATGCTATCGAATGAAGATATTTGAATTTGTTAAAAAAGTAACTACAGTAACTTCTTACTATTAAAGTATTGAGTCGATCGCCGATCGAGTGAAAGTTCTAGAGGCGACTTTTAGGATGGGCTTTATTGTGGGAACGCTCTTCGCATATTTTCGCTCAAATCAACGCCTGTCCACTTAAGTAGCGAACCGTAAACATTAACTAATGCACACTGTCAAGCCAATCCGTAGTGTTGTCGTTGTAAACATCTCGAATGTTTGAAAACATTGAAAAATTGTTTCAAATGTCTACTACAACGTACGAGCGGATTTTCTGTTCCGAATGCGGTTTCGGGCCGAAATTTTTGTTTCAGCGGCAGTTTGTACAGTTAAATTAATCATTATCACTACATATAAAATCACTACGTATGAAACAAAGTCGTCCCGCTATATTTCTGTCCCTATATAGGTATGCTTAGAACTTTAAAACTACGCAACGGATCTTGATGCGGTTTTTTTTACTGGATAGAGTGATTCAAGAGGAAGGTTTATATGTATAATTCATTGCACCCGTGCGAAGCCGGGGCGGGTCGCTAGTTGAAAACATTAATGAAATTTTTAATAAATATAATATCGCACAGTGGGGATATCGACCGCTTAGCTTAGTAGCTAGAGCGACTGGACGCATAAATGAGAAGCGGTAGCTTCGAATCCTAATGTGGATATAAATTTTTTCGGCTATTTATCTAACTTTGGCATCTGACTTCAACTTTAGGGTCACGAAATAGTTCGCTGTTGCACAAACGGGCAGGTCCGTCGGGGAAGTACCACGACCTCACAGAAGACCAGCCTGAAGTGGAAGTGTTATACCTACTCTTGCGTTTCCGGGGCCCACTTTATTAAAAGGTAGCAAAGCATCTGCAATCTCATGGGTGTTGCATATGTCCATGGGTGACACCTCCTTACATAGAAATAAACATTTTTAAATAGTATACAACAAAACAATTAACATAAAATCAACAATAACCAGAAGTCGTGAAACAACCAGTTACAAGATTTAACTTATTCTATATAGATATAATAAACATTATACCAATTATTACATTATATTGCTTTTTTGTAATTACATAGTCAAGTATTCGAACTTGACGAGATAGTGATGAATAATGTAATCCACTTAACATCTAGTTTACTTCAGCTTTACTTAATTATGCTTTAGTATAAGTAGTATAAGAATAACTAATCTAAATAAGATTAGTTGTTCTTATAATGCCCTACCCGCATCTCATCACTGGCATAATACGCGCGTTCCTTTTAGTCTTCAAAGCAAATCCTTCGCAAATCATAACGGTTGTTAGATACAAACTTTTCCATAAAACTCTCTGCCACCTCTCTGACAACACCAGGGGCAGACAATCCATCTTGCACATGTCAGTGCAGCGAAAAGCATCCCAGTTTCAACACCACACCATTACCGAACGCGCTCACACAAATTTACACGTTCATCCACGTGACTCATTTCCACTCGCATCTTCCTGCTGATAATTTAACAGGCGTACTCCTAAATACATTATTATTGCTTTTTATATCTCGCTTTTAAAGATGTGCCGAAGAGTGAGTTTGTGTCTTTAGAAAACATTGTCACGGAACTGTCATTTATAAAACGATTTTACAAATTCTTTTTGCAATTGATCTGGTATGACTCTGGTCCCTTGTATAAATTGGTACTGGAGCTTGAATTCCGAATTCACTGACTAAAAGTACAGGGACAAAATATCAAATTATATAAAAACCGAAGAAATTGAAGTGTTCAATGTACATGCAAATTTGAAATCAGTCTATTACATTTCATAAAGTTTAGATCTATATGGAAATTAAGAACAAGCCGTGATAGCTCATTGTCCGTTTGCTCGCTTTCAATTCAATAAACTCGAGAAACCTGAAATTTTTAAAAAATATTTTTCAAAACTAATGAAATCCTCAATTTAAAGTGCTGAATTATCACGTCCTCAGCGGTGAAGGAAAACATCGTGTGGAAACCTACATATTTTCGAAATAATGACAAAAGAAATATTTCGAATATATGAGAAATCTACCAATCGGCAGTGGCTGTTCCTCTACTTCCCTTTTTATCAATTGTATCGTTACCCGATGTACACATATAAAATCAACATGTTGAAGTCTGTTGAATTGGAAGCCCTACCCTATCTACCCTTATACATGACAGGACTGAGTACATCCACATCCGAATGAAGTCCGTGATACACGGGAGGTCTTTCCCTCCTTCTAATATCAGAGCACGCATCAGAATGCCTGAAAGCGCCCTCCCCAAAGGCGTTCACGGAAACGACTGTTTACATCGCGCTTCCTGATCGTGCGCGCTCACAGACAAACGCTTTATTTACAAACATTTATGATTTTGGAGCGCTCTGAAAAGGAACGGCCCCAGCTCGAGCTAAATTCGTCACCGCTTCGTCGCGGCGTTTCATTATGAGATATTGCCTTTTACCACCGCGCAGGTGTCGTTATAATGTCGTTATGCGGTTAAAGAGAACTGAGTCTCATCATGTGACGCCTATTATTGAGTACTACTGTCGAATACTGGACGTGGACTGCGGGGCATGGATATCGCCCGTCTACAGATTAATTGCTGGTTGAGGAAATGTGTGCAGTTGAAGTTTCGGGCACGAACAAAAAAGTTTCCATCACAAGTGTTTAGTTCATTAATAGAGCACGGCGACAAGACAAGCGATTCACCAATCTGAGGTTGCGCCTGCTATTGCCACACCCAGTTGAAGAAACATAATGTCAAAACGCTTATTCATAACGTCTTATATGAATCAGCGGTCTAGTCTGTTGGGGAAGTACTCTGCTAGACCAGACCTTCAAATCAGAATCATAATCTGGTGCAGAACTCTTCGTCAATTTAATATATATATATATGCGAAATTTTCGCACAGTGTGTTGAGTCACCGAATAATAATATAATAGTACTAGCTTATACCCGCGGCTTCGCTCACGTTGAAGCCCTTAAATAAATATCTTTTTTTTAAATATCTTTTTTTTAATAAAAACTCCTTTTTAATCTTTCAAGTATTGTCAATATATCATACATTTTGATACATTACTTATAAGAAATTCTTAAACGAAAGGTATTATATCAATTGTTTATTTAAATTTTTATAGTGCTAATATCTGCACTTAAAATGAAACATTAAAATTTGTAGTAATTTTGTTTTAATTTTTAAAATTGATAAAGAATTATCGAAGTTATAGCGTACCAATAAAACACTTTAGATAAATAATACGTAAATAAAGTACATTCCATAATGCTGTGATAGCCTATCAGCCCGGGTGCTCGCTTTTAATTCAATATATTTACTCGAGCAACCCGAGTTCGAACCCCGGTGCGTGCACCAACGAAACTGTCGCTTACATATCAGTGACGTCCTCAGCGGAGATGGAAAGGAAAACATAGTGAGAAAACCTGCGTATTTTCATAAAATTTTTTTCGTAGACACGTCTACGAAAAAAATTGTCAGTCCGCCAATCGGCAGTAAGGACGCCTGGTGGACTATACCCTGGACATATAAGCATTGGTGTATCTAGAATTATTTTTCAGGGTGGGCCTGGGACTTTACTACAAAAAAATCGAACACTATGTGTCGCATTAAAAAAGTCACAGTTCGTTATTGTTAATATATAATAGTAGTATTTACTACATAGATTTCTCGGCTATAGATAATTATTTGTTTTCAATGATTTTTTATGAAGTTTCTTCGGTATCCAGCCTAAAGTTTCGAATCAGTAACCCAAAATCCTGTGGTGGGCATTAGGCGATACTAGGGTGGGCATGGCCCACC